TTATTATTATTATTATTTTATATATTTATATATTTTATTTATTATATATATCATATTTTTATATATTTTATTATTATTAAATTATTTTCGTATAATTATTTAAAATTTTAATTAATTTTTTTAAATTTGAAGTTAAGGAAAGTTATGAGATCGGTTTTCTTTACTGTTTTGTTTTTGATGTGTCATTCAACAGTGAATAGAATGTTATCGGATACTTTGACAGTAAATCTCTATCTTCTATACAAGATATGGCCTTAAATCGATAAATTTTTCTACTTCAACAATTTTTTTTTCATTAATAAATTGAATTTTATATACATTAATTCAATACGTTACATACAAACTACGCATTAAAGCAATCCATTTTCGTGGATTGCTTGAATTTATCCGCTTAAACACACGCATAAACGTAAAATTTACAGTATAATACCGTAATCTTTATCCGAAAATATATATTTTTATTAGTTTTCTATTCGAAAATACTTTTTACTGGAAGATAATTCGTATGTAAGTCTAAAACCGCGATGCATCGTGTTAAATGGCGCCTGTAAGCGGGCTTTTCTGCGAAAATTATAAAGGAATTTTGTCTTCTTTGAGTTAATTTTCATAAATATTACTTCGAATTAACTTATTTTTCTAAAGAAAATATTAAGAAATTATATTAATAATATAATTTGGATGAATATTTCGACTCAAATTTGATTAGAATTTTCTTGTTTTCTACAGTTTTGATGTCGAACTTGTCAATTGTTACGCTTTTAATCGACATTTCTACTTGATTATGATTCATTCAACATATCTAATGTAAAATAAATGAAATCGAAACGTTAATTTTTTGATTTCGACTTAAGAACGATCCATGAATCATATCTATTAATAACAATTATATAAGAAGGAATGGATTTAGACTTGTTCTAAGCTGTAAAATATAAAAGGCCCTTCTCCTCCATCAAATAACGATACGTGTATCTACAGACCCGTAACGTGAGGCCCTCGGCTGTAACTCGTTTACCTTATGTGCCAATGCCGAATACAAATTTATAGATCACGTGTATAGCATTATCCTTCTGTTCCTTCCACAATTATAATAATAATATACATGACTTATAGAGGAATAATAAAGACGACTCTTATAGGGATAGGTAGCTTTCCTTGGCCCGTAATGGAGCTTCCAGTATACCTGTATCGAAAGGCCTGGGGCCTCGAGGGTTTCAGATCGTAGTCTCCTTCGACACAGGTCTTTCCTGGCTTGTATAGAGGCCTTCTTCTTACGTGAGGCCTCCAATACAATAAAAATAATCTGAATATTTCAAAAATTATAATTTTTTAGTTCAGTTCTTGTTTTATTAATAGAACACGTGGATAAAATTTATAATCTGAGCTTCAAATCTTGATATTTTATTTTAGAATTTTATATTATTTAACTTATTTTGGAATTTGGAATTTTTAATGTTGATTTTAAACACTTTAAAATCATTTTTGATGGCCTTTCTCACATCATTTTCATATAAATTAAACTTCCTCGTTTTATTTTTGTTTCAATCTACCAAATATGATACAGGTAAATCCCCTCTTTTGTGTATATATGACGTTTTATCTAAGGATTTTAATACAATATATATCTTATTTAAAAAATAAAAAAGTAAAAAAATATATAAGATAGTATCTCTTAGTTACATCGAGTGTTGTAATTTCGTCTCAAAAATTGATATTTATCTAAAGTAATTACGATAAAAATCCAGTATAAGAAGTAAAATATATGCATAAAAATTTGATACATATTATTTCGTAAGAGTATAAGTGATGAAATTTACGTAAAACAAAGATATTATACGTCATGGGAAAAAGGAAGGAAGAAGACAGGAAGGATGCAAAATCTTAAGACGTTTTGCCTCATTTCCATCTAAATTTTCGTCATTTTTATCAATTTCACTTCAAGAAACAAACTTATATTTACGTTAATTCCTGACGTAATTGTCGATATTAACGAGTGTCGGTAGTTACGTCACAATGGATGTCCAGTATCACGACACCGGACAGCATACGAGATTTGTTCCTCCCCTCAGAAGACAGTTTAATACCTTAACAGCGTCACATAAGCGTGATTACCCTTAGGCATTAATATATAGTCATTTATATATATATATATATATAAATAAAGATTTTCAGTGGTTTACCTTCAGTTATGACATTTAATTACAATGATTGAATGAGACTTTGCAGGAAGAAGTAGATTAAATTTTAATTTTTAAATGAGGATTTAAGCATTGATTCTTATTTCTTAAGTAATAAATAAATTTTTTAAGTAATCTTTTTATAATTTATTACGTAAATATTATTATTTTTTTCGTTAATCTGCAACTGTAGACGATGAGATCACTGGTTTAAATATACAACTATCAGATGTTTTGGCATCTGTTTAATACTTTTTTATATAATTTATTATAATATAAATTATGTAATTTTATTTTTTTTTCCTTCCTAAATTCGTGTTTTGCTTTAATCAAAATTAAATCACGCTTATATAAAAATTAAGCAATTAAATTCAAACCAGTTTAATTTTATTTTGAGACTTTACATATTTATTTTTAATAGTAAAAATAATTAAAAACAAATTAAAATTTTCATTTCTTTTTTTTTAAGATTTAATTGTATTAAATTATTTAAATTATTCTACAAATTTCTATTTTTAGAAGTAACTTGTATAATAATAGGCCTATAGGCTAATAATGAACCTATGATTTATTATTAATTTAAAATGTAAATTTTTAAATTAAATTAATTAAAATACTTAATTTTGAGAAAGAAATTAATTAATATAAATGTTTAAAATAATAAACTTATATTTGATTTTTTTAAGATTATTTTTTTGTATTTTTTTAAGATATTTTTTAAAATCATCTTGTGACCTTTTTTAAATTTTTTTAAAATCATTTTGTGACTTTTTAAAATTATTTTTTGGCAATTTAACAAAATTAATAATTTTATTTTATTTTTATTCTTTATTTTATATAAAAGATACACGGCGATTCCCAATGAAAGAAATAAGTCACTCCCACATTGAGCCATCCCATTAATTAAAACGTTATTTAAAATTTTCAAAAAGAAATGTTGAATTTTTTAATAAAAATCCAAAAAAAAAACAGAGAAAAATGATTGATTTTTTAAATTAATTTTGAAGCTTTCTAACAATTTTCACATTCCGAAATCAATTGAAAACTCTGAAAAAAAAATTCATTTTATTGTTTCATTCGACTTCAATGGATACAATGAAGTTGTAAGATGAAGGCGAAGAATCTAAAAAAAGCAATTAAGAAGTCAAAACCTTGAATTTTCTTTGTTTTTTATAACTACCTCTTCTTAAGACGGTCATGAGAATTGTCACGTTCACGCTTCAAACGAAGCGTGAAGTTAAAAAAATAAAATAAAATAAAATAAAATAATAAAACGAAAATTTGTAGTGAAAGTCGTCATTTGTTAACCTAGAACACAGACAATTTTTTTATTTTTTATTTTTAAATATTTACTTTTAAAATATCTGTCGACCTCGTTTACCTTTGAATGCCATCGAGACTTGCTTTTGTCTAAGACAAGTTTCTATAAAGAAATTTGTTTTATTTTGAAGGTTATATGTGTGACACACCGCATAATAATGCCAACGTTTGCATCACTTTCTCTC